GGGGGGGAGGGGGGCGCTCGTTTTGGAGAAGTTGGAAGTGGAAGCAGGGGGTGTTTCGTGGTGTCGCCAGCGCGTCACAAAGAAAGCGTCAGCATTGGAAGAAGCTTGAAGCTGCTGTTGTTGCTGCCATATCTTGGATGACAGCAACAGCAACAGCAACAGCAACAGCAACAACAACAACAACAACAACAACAACAACAACAACAACAACAAACCTGAAACGGTCCCCCCGCCCCCTGCACCGCGATGTTGAGCGGCCGCGACCAGGCAGAATCGTCCACCCGCACACATAGTCCTGCTCCGGGCCGGCTCGCGCGCCCCGCACCCCCCCGGACCGCTCGGGGGGTCTCAGCTGTTGGGACCCCGATCTTGCTGACCACGCCTGCCGATGGCTGATAAATGATCGAGGTGCCTGTCTCGCGAGCAAGCAGTCGCGAGGACGGGTAAACAGCAACAAGATCAATGTGGAAAGCAAAATGGAGAGCAAACTGGTGTAACTGGGGGGCTGCGCCGACAATGAATGTTGGGCTCGTGTTTTGATTGGTAACCTCTCGGCTGATGGTTTCGGCGGCGGCAGAGGGGGGGGACGTCCACGCTCATCACGCTCGATGTTCGCTGGTCTATGTAAACCACCGATCAAAAGCCCTCGGTGCACAAGGGACGCATCCAGCAAGAAAACCAACGAGAACAGCAGTGCACTCGCGCCTTCGAACACACATTTGGGGCTGACAAGCAATCCGTGAATTTATATTTCTTTTTCGAGAAAAGAACCAATCCAAACCCACCTCAACCCGTAGAAAAAAATAGAGATGAATCAAGAGTGTTGAATGACCTCCCTGTTTCTCTCTACCACTCGTGTTGCAAGTCCCACAAAAAGCAAAAAAATATGACAAAGGGGCTCCGCGAAAATCGATGGTACCCCGCGTAAGCCCCCATGATGGGTTGCCCAGCGCACCATCTGGTGCACACCTTTGTCACTGCTGGTGCTCCTCACACAGATAGCTACGTGCCATTAAAGCTGCAGGATGCCTCAAGCATGTTGTGTTCTACACGCGCAGACAGTTGGTTTGGCCTGGTTTCGCTCTGAACTTGGCAAATGCCGTGCTATCAAAAGTGAAAGTGCTCCTGCTTCAAGACCGTTCCGCAGCTCTCAGATCCAAACTTCACGCTGCTAGACGCGGGCGAAGGAGTTGACGAACTCGCTCGGGACTTCGCCAGAGTGGATAGCATAGGCATAGGTATCATTGAGGGGTTGGCGAAATTTGGGATCGCCACCACGAGTGTCGTTCCAGTGAACCATTCTATCGCCTATACGTCGACCAAACACGCCCCGCACGTCTACCTCCAATTTTGTTGGAATTTTCCTGCAAGTTCCCCCGCAATGTGACCTTTAACGCTCTAGACCCGCTCAAAAAACGATCCCGTCCAAATTTTTTATGGCACCGCGCTGTAGAGACATACATGCCTAAGCTTTTGCTTTAGAAGGTTGGCCACATTTGGGATCGCCACTACAGCCGGAGTTGTTGACGAATAACGGCCTGTGCCATAGGAATTCGGCGGCTGTAGGGGCTCCGCGTGATCGATGCCTTGTCGTAATAAAAAATAAAAAAAAAAGAATTTTGTGGGGACTTGCAGAACGGGTGCTACGACTTTCTCGCGAACAGAAGTCAAACGCCCCCGCAATAAACGCAACCTTCTCGCCCCCTGTTATGCATACAATTCTGAAAAATAAGGTACCCAAACACACGCCGTCGGCGATCTGCAAGAACACCAAGGAACGCCGTTCGACAGAAGCGATGTAAATATCATCACCTTCCCCCACGGGCTTGCCCGCGATAGTCGATGGCGAGACACGGGTCTCCTCGTTCCCCTCCGCAGGAGACGTTTGCGGTGTTAGTCGGTAGGGGACGCGGCGGCGCACCCACCTCCGACGCCAGACGGGGTCGGAGAGCGTGAAGGCCCGAGAGGACGAGAAGCTGCTGTTGCTGTAGCTCGCCCCTTTCAAGAGGCATCGATCAATCAAATAAAGACGCATACTTAGCATGATGAATTGCGGGGAAGGGATAGGAGGCAAGCAGTCGAGATCGGGCATGGGCTGTAGTTGTCCCCATGGTAGGGTTCACGCGTGAAATGATCAAACATCCAGCGACAGAAATATCATACTAGCAACTAGGGCATGCCTTAAAATGAACAAGATGAAGGCTTATCATTGGGGAACACCTGCCAAGCCGTTAACCAAGCGAGCTGAGTCGGGACGAAGGTCAGCTTGTTCCTCACGCACAATATGTACACAGCACGCGCCTCAACTTCTACAAGTTGGCAGTGAGGAAACTGACCTGAAAAAAACCCCGCAAGAACATGTGTGCAGCCAAGAATCCTACACATAAAAATCTATACACTCGAGGTCGCGCTATTACCCCCCCGGAGGAACAAAAAACGAGCCTCGGGGAAAAAGCAAGACCTCCTAAGCGCGGGTGCGTTCTCTACCTTTCAATTTTCGAGGGCAGCTTTCCCAGCCCCCTCCGCCTGTCCCGGGAGCGTTTGGAGCCACGGCACCGGAAACATCCATGGTCCACTCGCCATCCCACCGCCACAGGTCGCTCGGAAGCCGCACCTAAGGCGGGGGAATGAGAGCGTCAACACACATGCTAGCCTCAAAACGGTGAATTTCTGCATGGATGGAATAACATGTGTATTGTGCGACATCGCGTGGTGAACGTATCCTGGAGACCATTACACATCGCCCGTTCAGGTGTGGCGTGACCCCGGCTGGAGCTTCCAGAAAATACAACACACGGTATCAAGCACGTCACACTGAGACTGACGTACTTTTTCGTTGTTCAGCCGGTTTTTGCGCGGTCGATACAAAAACAGCGGCTTGCTCGGCTCGGATGCCTGTTTACCTGTGTGCAGGGCGACCGCGGGTTCCCTTGCGCGGTGATCCACCGGGTGTCGTACGAATCCATCCCCTCCTGGCCCCTGCGCGCCAGCCTCAGCTCGAAAACCTCCTCGGTCATGCCGTGCTGGTCGGACTGCACCGCCGACAAATGGACGTCCCACGAGGATTGCCTAGGAGGGGAAGGACTGTACCTGGTGGGGGGGACCGGGGGGGGGTGAGGGGGGTACTCATAGCCGTGGATGCCGTAGTGGTTAGACCATTGGCCTCGCCTCCCGACAAAGCCGGGACGGAGAACGCAGGGTTTTCACCGGACCAGGCCAGCACATCACCAAGCGCTGTGAGGTATTCGGACAGTCGCATGGAGGGCGCGCTGCAGCCCCCCGGGGGGGGGGACTACTCGCGTTTGCATGCCTACATGTTAGACCATTGACGACAAAAGGACGGAGGATTGTTCCCGCAGGTCGGATCACCGATGACCAATCGTTACTTGCTACATTGCTCAACAGGTGGGGGAGACGGGGGTTTCATAGTTTGCTTGAGAGAGCGCTACGCCAACATTGAGCAACAGCCCGAGAGTGCACAAAGAAAAGTTGCAACGTTGCCTAACTTTTAGAGAAGCCCCCTCCCGCCCGTAAAACAGCGAAGTAGACACCCACCACCCTGTCAATTTACAGATAAGACCCCGCCCCCCACTATCAAACTGCAAAGAACCCCCCGCTAAAAAGTCCACAGGAGACCGGGAACGGCTTTGAAGCGGGTGCAGGATGCGGTGGCGTAAAACAGGGCCTCCCGGGTGCGGTCGGAAACACATCTTAACCCGTACGTGAGTTGAGTCAGTCTGACTTTTGGTTTTGCCTCCTCCTCGAGAACTTTGGAAGACAAATGCTCATCGTCTGACATGAGTGCACACAATTGCGAGCACATACACACGGAAAAAGGTCCATGTGTGTTTGCATCTTTCCGCAGACCAAAGCAATCGGAACGGCAACCCGAAATGTCACGTCAGGGTTAGCTCATCACCTTCGCATCTTGTCCCTAGCCGCGCTGTCGGCCAGCCTCTCCTCGTGCAGCTCTAGAGGCGAGAGACCCCGAGAAACGGGTTCTCCTAGCGTAAGGGGTAGGCCGCTGAGGTTGCGCACCCAGAAGCCAGAGAAGACCGTCACGAGCACCGAATTCATCTGCGGCGGTGCGAAGGCACCGAAATTTGGTGACGTACCGTGGGGTATTTCAGCAGAAACTCGACTGTTGAGCGGGGGGGGGCGGAGGGCAGCCGGTTCTTCGATGTCGTCGGTGCCTTGATAGCATTAAAGTTAAGAAGACATCGTCTGCCAACCTGACGGCGAGGGAATCTATGCTTCGCACGGTTTGGTTAGGCCCAGTAGTACGGAGGCTCGAAAAATTAGCACTAAAGTCGAGATCCGATTGGTGAAAGAAACCAGTTGCCTGGTCTGGGTTTCCGGCAGAGAGGCTGTCTTTCTTGTTGTTCAAAGTGACGAAATCAGAGTTCGAAATCAAAACCTTTGCTTTGCACAGCCAACGCGGTTCCTTACACTAATGTGAAAGTCCAGGGCGGAAGTCTTCTTCTCAACGCCAGGAACTCGAAACAATTCAACGCCATAGTCATGTGTAATTCCCGGCTAACAGCCGATTCTGAACGAACTGAAACAACCCAAGCGACGTGACTCGGACAGCTAGCTGCTTGTATCGCAAAACAACAACAATGGATTGGGCATTTGATCGCACGAAAGAAGACGCGATACAACCCGGCCTCCCCTACGATGGGAAGTGCATGGTTTCTCGGGGGGCATATTGCAGTGGTTTTGGAGGTGTTGTCCGACGTGAATCAATGAACTTGTTCGGCTGGCTATTCCTCACCCGGACAGAAGCCGCCTCGACGCTGAGGTACAGTATCTGGTTGCTCATGTTGCGGCAGGGGACGCTCTGCAGGCTTATCCCCGGCACGTGTTCGCTGGTCGTCGGAACGCCGCCGCCGGGAGGTTCCCGGCCCCGGCTGCTGCTGCTACTGCTGCTGCTGCCGCCGCCGTCGGAGTCGGTGGAACCTGCCCTTGTCGGACGCATGAGCTCAGCAACGGCCACCTGGTGAGGGGGAGTCCAGTCGAACCCGGCGACCTGCGGAGACAGGGAAGACACACGACCAAGCTTTGAAAGTCTCGTCTCGCGGTATACCATGGGAAAACACCACCAACGCCACGCTTCCCCCCCAAAGCAAGGCTCGTTCTTGTTTTCGACGCTCCGGGAATAGATTGTCCGCAGCGCTAGTAGGTGATCCGGACATTTTTCTTGGTTCTTGCCCCTTGTACATTCACTGGATTCCGAGGTTGGCGACCGAGATTTCATGCTGGTACCGCTTCCGCCAACTCCAGGCGACACGCGGCGGCAATAGTAGGTCCGTGCCAAGAGGTTTCACGCCCCCTATACCGTTCACCCACCCTCTAGAAGACCGACGACCGACTGCTGTACACCCTTACTAGATGGAAAAGGCCACTCGGGGTAGTTGAGTATATTCCAGCCTCTTTGAGAGTGAGCTGATCGTTGACTCCCCCCCTTCAGCGCGATGCCAGCTTCCCAATTTTATTGGGAACCCATTCTTGACTTGTGATTTCAAAAAACAAATAATTCCAAGAAAAAAAAGCGCTCGACACACCTTGAACGACAGCGAAGGTGCCATGGCCATCGCGTTCGCCTCCAGCACGTGGACCCCGTCCCCGGGCGTCAACCACCCCTCCGCCAGCCTCGCACCCGCGTCACCCCTCGCGCCGGCTACCCTCCACCCAACGCCGACGGGCAGGAGGTTTCGAAAGCTGAGGGAGGCGTACACCACCACCTCCAGGGGCCGCAAGGACAACGCCGCCATCGGGTTTCCGGCCGAGCGGGGGGAGTCAACCACTCGGGTAGGAAACGAAGCGTCGGGGCGCTGCCGCTGTCGGCCATGAAGTGTCGCGTTTGCCACCACCCTGCTGTTGCTTCTACCGCCACCGTCTCGACTTGTGCGCCTGGTTTTCGACCAGGGGTCGGATGAGGCTTTCCGGCGGCTTCCTCCTCCGGGGATGGCGGCGCCGTGTCCCCCCCCCTCCGGATCGTTCGCGTCGAGCCCCTCAAGGAACAGGAAGAGGGGCTTGCGGCATGCGGTTGTGTCACCATCGGCGGGGGAGTTGGTGGAAGGTTGGGAGGGATTGCATGCCACCCAGGGGATGACCGCCGTCGTGGCCCCGAGCTCGCCTTCTCCAGCCCTGCGAAAAACGCGCGGACACGACCGGCCCTGAAGGAGTAAACAAGTATCGCAATAGCATGCCATTCCATGGGGGAGTAGGACAACACGAAGGGGGTAGTGTTGACTACGAAGACATCCCCACGACTCCTTGCCCCTGAATGGCCAAGACCAAGCTACTACAACGGACCGAAGAGGCAAAAAAAGGCGCTCTTGTGACACCATCACAACCGCGGCGGTAAACTGCTAACCTTGCCGCCGGCACCAGCACCGAGCAGTCGCTGTACTCGTACGATCTCTCTCCCTGATCCCCCGATTCCCCCGCTAGATGGTGAACTTCCACGACTTTCTTGGGCATGCTATTGTTAGAGGGTGAAGAAGAGCGCCTGCCGTCCCCGAACCCGCCGCCCTGGCTCCGCGGCCACGGGCGCAGCCTGATGTCTTCCGCACGGCTCCACCTCAGCGGTAAGGGCAGACGGCCCCCGGGAGCAACCTGCGGCATGTATAAACGTCACCAGGTAACAGCGTGCAATGACGTCACGCGAGGCTGCCACCGGGAAGAAATAAACCGCGGACCAAGTCGCTTCGACGCATAATTCATGTTTTTTCCAGGGAAATTTCCACATGTTGGATAATCCATGGAAATGGCATGCGTCCATCGTCGAAGGCGTAGCTCCAGATCACCAGCAACAACAGCAACAACAGCAACAACAACAACAACACGCACCGCTCCCACGACCTCCTCTTTCGCCTTGTCCCCGTCCCCCCTGCCGGCGGCAAACGAATCCGTGGAGCACCGAACTTCCAGCCAGGACCCGCACTTGTTCACGACTTCGAGCGCCGACCGCAGGGTCACCGTGTGGCGACCGTTCTCCAGGCAAACCTCCCATATCGCGTCACACCTATGTAGAACACCGTGAATGTTGAGACAGTTCAGCAAGCACGAAGCCCAGATTGTGCGAAAAATGCAGACCATTGTGGAGCAGGCAGAGCCTGCCGGGTGGATGGATTTTCGGCTAGCCAGTGCTGACCGCCGTAACGATTCGATTTCCGGCTGCTTAAAGGCCTGTCGTGTGCATGCCTGGCATGCCTGCTCAACCGCACGGCTTGCTGCCTCCCTCACCCCTCCGACCTTGTTCCTGATAAAAGCCTCGAACCACCTTGTAAAGTCCGTGGGAGATCTGTTTCCCAACCATTTTCGACCGCTGGGAGCGGGCTCAGCGCCGGCGGAAGAGAATCCTAGTCGGGACCCCCCTGCCGCCGCAGGAGGTAGGTCTCGCCAAATACAATACTTCCATGCAATCATCTACGCTGAGAATGACAATGCACTACTAGGAAGTATCTCTCCTCCGACCCCCTTCCAACCATCGATCACCCTTATGACTCGTTATGTGCACTAACATCGTGTTAAGTGCATTGACATCCCCCAGGTCGGCGAGTGCTGTTGACGCTTGATTTCGCCATCAAGAGGCGTGTGGTAATGCCGTCAATGTGTCCGTACCTGCTGAGCCGTCTCGGCGACTGTCCCCTGTCCCCGGCCGCTTCTCGTCCGGGCACGCCTTCCATGACAAGCAAGCACTGCAAGAAGCTACGTCCCGCCTCGGTGAGGGGGAGGTTTAAGAACCGCTGCCCCTCGTCGTCGTCGCCTCCAACCCCCGAAACCCCTGCAAAAAAAAAAACACATGAGCGGGTGTTCGATGAAAGGGTAGTGCTACATATGCGATCCTTCCATGATCCTGAGGTTTTACGAAGGGATGTGCGGCATGTACTATCGCATGGCGTGTGTTCCATTGACACCACTTCGCACAATTAGCACAAAAAAATCTGTATGTGAACTTCAAAACCTAGCTCGGGTTCCTATCATAGGCGACCGCCAGCCGGTCTCTTCTGCGTAGCACGTAAGGAGGCAAGCCCTTGCAATAGACCACTTGCAACAGGACTCCCCCCACAAAACAAAATCAACTCGGGGCGGAGGAAGGCCCTTCTTTTTCAGGGACTCACAAAAAACAGAACTTTGTGCCCCCTTGCTCAGAGTTTAAAAAAAAAAGTTCCGGGTAGCTGATGAGCTGAAGCAAAATCACCAATTTTCTCCATAAAGGGGCACAACGGTATGGTACTTCTCCCCGATATCCCCGAACCCCCCTTCCGCCGGACATCGGCGAGAGGCAGAACCCGGAAGGCCGCGCGTGCGAGGACACCCTCGTGCTCTGAGAAAATGATGCCACTCCCGCCCTGAAGACGACAGCGATGACGATCCATCTACCACTGTATAAGTACTCAATGAGCGACCACCCCCACCAAGCAATTTCGAGGCTGGACCTGAAATAAGCGTTTCTTAATTGCGGGCGCAAACTGTACTGCCTGCCACGGGCGACCACGGGCCACGACCCACGAGCGAGCACATCACGAGATCAGCTTATAAGTCTTACAAACAACCTTAGTGCTACTGGTAGGCTTCCTCCTTGCGTAGCTGAGCAATTCCCGGATCCTCAGAGCTCTGATCCCCAAAGCGCAAAGGGCTGCTGTAGTTGTAACTAGTTGTACTAACCAGCCGACACACGCTGACGCCTCGCTGTTTTGTCCTCTGTCGGCCGCTTGAGAGCAAACATAAATGGGTAGGAGGTGGATACTACACCAGATGGCAACAGCATAGCACCACAAGAAACAAAACACTGATAGTTCTTTGCGTATCATCAAAAAGTGTAAAAAGCATCTACCGCCAGCGTGTGGAATGATGAATGGTACAAGTGTTGTAAGTACTTCATTTGGACTTTCATTTCTACGTATGTATAGCAAGCTGCTGTGTTGGTACCTGTCTACACTCACGCACGGCTGTATTGTCTGTTAATACGCTATATTTATGCTACTTCCGGGGCGCTTTGGACTCACACATGTATACACTGATGGCTGACGGGGCACAAGTTACTGTTGGTGTTCTTAATGTTTGCGCCGGGACCGCCTTGCGAGATAATAACGTTTTGAAGAAATACATGAAAATATATGGGTGTTTATTCTAAATAATTGTTGTGTTGTTCAGGTTTTCAGGTTGGGGAGAACATATCGAAGTCACAGCACCTAATTCTTGCATCACGGCACCAACCGGTTTATCACTGCATCTTCCCAGGAACAGCAACCCATGCCGTGAACCGCGTGCCGTAACGTGCGGGTAAAATCTACCATGATTTCGGGTCTGCTGCTGCTGCTGCTACTGCTGCTGGTGCTGCTGCTGCTGCTGTAAACATATACCATACACAAGTGATTCCTCCGGGGTGGGCTCATGAGAGCACAATAGGGTCATCAAGGGGGAAAATGCAAGATGAAAACATATGCAGTACTGTAGCGGTTGTGATGTTTCCTAAGCTCAACAGCCCACACAGCACCCGACGTGTGAGTTTGACTCGGACAGCTCAGCGAACCTCAACGAAAAATGGTACAACTCTGTTTACAGTCTTCTATTATATACCTGGTGGGTCGTCGGCACCCGTCTGCTGCACATCAGACGGACTCTGGGCGGTGACCAGGCGGACAGACAGCAACCACGATGCGTGGCGCCTGTTCCTTCTCCCAGGCTGCTGCGACTGCCCCTCCGTCGTGCTGGAGGTACTGAAGGGCTGGTCCGACATGCCCCCCACCACGGTGCCCCGTTTTCCGAATCGAGACACACTGGACGTAAAAACAAGGGGGGGGGGGCTGAACAAAAAAAAACGACCACCGGGCTATTCGATCGAACGGGACAACTACGTCATGAAGTCATACACCGCCGTGCGACAAACGCCAAACAGCCCATCGGGCAAACGGACCATCACACGGCTACCTCCACGATGCTTTTGTTGGTGCTGTCTGAAACGGTTTGTGCGAGAGTCGGAGTTCCAAAGGCGTGTCGCACCTGTCGACCTTGTCCTGGTGTGCCCAGAACTCCAGCTTCAGGCCGGTTCTGTTCTGCAGCAAGAACGGTGAGTACCGCTGCGGCTGCGGCTGCGG